TGAGGCTCCAATACTCTGGCCACCTCATGAGAAGAGAAGACTGCCTGCAACAGACCCTGATGTTGGGAAAGATGGAGGACACAAGGAGAAGGGGAAGGCAAAGGACAAGATGGTTGGATAGTGTTCTCGAAGCTACAAGCATGAGTTTGACCATGTGGAAGACAGGAGTGCCTGGCGTGCTCTGGTCCATGGGGTCACGAAGAGTCAGACACGACTAAACGACTAAACAACAAACTAGCTTGTGTAACTAGTTTTTAATCAAAGTGCCAAGCCTATTTTGGCACTGAGTGGTACATAAATTCCTGCTTTCATTATGAATAATAATAAAATAAGCATTGGGGGAAATATACAAAAAATGTCTCAGAACATCAGTTTGTGAAGAGGAGGTTGATGCAGAAGCTACTATCTCACACTACATTGACTTTGCACACACAACTCCTATCTCTGATACTGGCAGCCTTGGAGACCTAGCCCGTACTGGTAAACCTGGGCACAGAGCCTCCACCCAGAGGAGCTGTCTACCATGTCCCTTGCCCCTCGACCACACCAGACAAGGTGTTTATACGCTAATGTATTGTGTTTTAAATTGTGTGCAGTGAAAAGTGAGATAGAAATGCTTGTTATAGAGAAAGCACTGAAATAAAATTTTAAATCATTGTCATACTTCAGCTATATCTCTGCACCGCTTTACAAAATAATAATGATAATAATAACAGTAATGTAATAATAAAGCTATACTGCTTTATTATTATTTATTTGATTAGCTATATAACAGGGAGGGGGAAATAAAAGTTAAAGTTTAAAAGCCTGAGAGAGAGAGAAAAAGTTTTCAGCTGGGGCCAAAAGCACAACCACATTTAGTTAACAGGGGCCCTAAAAAGGAGAGCCAATAATAATAATAATAATAATAATAATAATAATAATTTATTATTTATACCCCGCCCATCTGGCTGAGTTTCCCCAGCCACTCTGGGTGACTTCCAATCGAGTGTTAAAAACAATACAGCATTCTGAGACGTTCCCACCCCGTCCTTTCAGTCACGAGTTTCCTGCCTTCCCCATCTTTTGACCAGACCTTTTCCTTGCAACCTCCATCCCAGGGTGCCAATGCCCTGGGACAGCTTGGGGGGCAGCGTGACCCACTCAAGTATTTTATGGGGACGTTGAAAGGACCTTGGCCCCTGGGAGTTGGCCCCCATGCCTCCATCCATCTATTCCAGTCCTTCTCCACCCCACCCTTCCTGGAACTCACCAGGTATATCTCTCTCCATGCATTTGCCTCAGCCTCTGTTGCCAAGGAATCTAAAAAAGGAACATAAGAGTAGTCCTGTGTTGTCTGAAGGTAAAAAGGTAAAGGACCCCTAGATGGTTTGTTGTTTTTTAGTCGTTTTGTCATGTCCGACTCTTCATGACCCCCTAGACCAGAGCACGCCAGGCACTCCTGTCTTCCACTGCCTCCCGCAGTTTGGTCAAACTCATGTTTGTGGCTTCGAGAACACTGTCCAACCATCTCGTCCTCTGTCGTCCCTTCTCCTTGTGCCCTCCATCTTTCCCAACATCAGGGTTTTTTCCAGGAAGTCTTCTCTTCTCATGAGGTGGCCAAAGTATTAGAGCTTCAGGATCTGGTCCTTCCAGTGAGCACTCAGGGCTGATTTCCTTAAGAATGGAGAGGTTTGAGCTTCTTGCAGTCCATGGGACTCTCAAGAGTCTCCTCCAGCACCATAATTCAAAGGCATCAGACAGTTAAGTCCTGTCAAAGGCGACTATGGGGTTGCGGCGCTCATCTTGCTTTCAGCCCGAGGGAGCCGGTCCCACAGACAGCTTTCTGGGTCATGTGGCCAGCAGGACTAAACCGCTTCTGGCACAATGGGACACTGTGATGGAAGCCACAGCCGTTTACCTTCCAACCGGAGCGGTACCTATTTATCTACTTGCATCAGAGTGCTTTTGAACTGCTAGGTTGGCAGGAGCTGGGACGGAGCAACGGTAGCTCACCCTGTTGAGGGGATTCGAACCGCCGACCTTCTGATTGGCAAGCCCAAGAGGCTCAGTGGTTTAGAGCGTAGAGCTAACAGGGCAATGGTCCATCTAGTCTAGCATCGTGTTCTCACAGTGGTGAACCAGATGCCCCAGTGAGACACAAGCAAATGGGATTTAGAAGTAATAATAATAATAATAATTTATTATTTGTACCCCGCCCATCTGGCTCGGTTTCCCCAGCCACTCTGGGCAGCTTCCAACAAAGATTAAGAATACATTGCTGCCTCCAGCTGTGGAGGGCAGAGCATAGTCATCATGGCTAGTATATATACAGAAATGGAAGGGACCCTGCAAGCTTCCTCTAGTCCAACGGTTCTCAACCTGTGGGTCCCCAGATGTTGTTGGACTACAACTCCCATCATCCCTGAGCTCTGGCCTTGCAACATCTCGCGACCCACAAGTTGAGAAAGGCTGATCTAGTCCATGGGTAGGCAAACCAAGGCCCGGGGGCCACATCCAGCCCAATCGCCTTCTAAATCCGGCCCGCGGACAGTCCTGGAATCAGCGTGTTTTTCCATGAGTAGAATGTGTCCTTTTATGTAAAATGCACCTCTGGGTTATTTGTGGGGCATAGGAATTCGTTCATTCCCCCCCCCAAAAAAAATATAGGCCGGCCCCCCACAAGGTCTGAGGGACAGTGTACCGGCCCCCTGCTGAAAAAGTTTGCTGACCCCTGATCTAGTCCAACCCCTCTGTAAGGCAGGAATATGTAGTTGTCCCATACAGGGATTGAACCTCCAACCTTGGTATTATCAGCAGCACACTCCAACCAACGGAACTATCCATGCTATTGAATTTTTCTAATCTTTTAACGCTATGCAAGCTGGCAGCCATTGCTCCCTCCTGTGGCCGGGACTTAAGATAGTTTAACAATGTGGAACAAGTCATTTCCTTCTGAACCTTCCAACCACGGGCGTAGGCAAGGAAGGCAGCTGCCCCCCCCGCCCCCAATCAAGTAAATAAATAAAAATACTTAAAGTAGAATTTGCAGCAAGGATATTGTTAGCCCAAAAATGGAAGCAAGAAGAATTGCCAACTAAAGAAGAGTGGCAAGATAAATTGATGAACTACTGGTGAACTATTTTGAATCGATTTTAGAATGAATTGGTTTTAGAATGCATTTCAATTGATTGATTGTGATTTTATTTATTATTATTGGCCACTCTGAGCCCGGCTTCGGCTGGAGAGGGCGGGATATAAATAAAATTTTATTATTTATTATTTTGCTGAGATGGCAAGATTAACAGCAGCACCAGACTTTCCTAAAGGAATGGAAGAAGCTTTCGACGTACTTGGAAAGCAGCTGTAACCAACTGACATCGCTTGTAGGGTTAAAAGAAGTTTTGTAAGGAGTAATATATAAATCATTGTGAAAAGAATGAAGAATAGGTATTAAGATTTTAATTTATCGCCATAACTGTAGTAACAAAATGCACAATTAAAAGGATTTTAGAAAACCCATCAGTTGAGGTTGAAGGAAGTCTTAGGCTGTGATAGTCAAAGATTTTGAAATGATGTTTAAAAGGATGATATGCTGGATAATATGTGTAAAAACCAATAAAAAAAAATATATTTTTTAAAAAATAAAGTAGAATTTGTAGAAAGATTTTGACAAGATTTTCCCGATCACTTGGGGTCAAAAGAAAGTAATTTAAAACAACTGTCATTGAGGCATTTCCTTCAGAATCTGCTAGCGGTTCTCAACCTGCGGGTCCCCAGATGTTGTTGGACTACAACTCCCATCACCCCTGAGCTCTGGCCTTGCTAGCGAGGGATGATGGGAGTTGTAGTCCAACAACATCTGGGGACCCACAGGTTGAGAACCGCACAGAGCATAGCTGTCAACGTTTCCCTTTTTTAAAGGGAAATTCCCTTATTTCCTCGATGGTTCCCTCGATGGGAGAAGCCAAGTTACAGGGAACCAGGCAGAGGGCCTTCTCGGTAGTGGTGCCCGCCCTGTGGAACGCCCTCCCACCAGATGTCAAAGAGAAAAATAACTACCAAACTTTTAAAAGGCAAAGGGATCCCTGACCATTAGGTCCAGTCGTGACCGACTCTGGGGTTGCTGCGCTCATCTCGCTTTATTGGCCAAGGGAGCCGGCGTACAGCTTCCGGGTCATGTGGCCAGCATGACTAAGCCGCTTCTGGTGAACCAGAGCAGCGCACGGAAACGCCGTTTACCTTCCTGCCGGAGCGGTACCTATTTATCTACTTGCACTTTGACGTGCTTTCGAACTGCTAGGTTAGCAGGAGCAGGGACCGAGCAACGGGAGCTCACCCCGTCACGGGGATTCGAACTGCTGACCTTCTGATTGGCAAGTCCTAGGCTCTGTGGTTTAACCCACAGCGCCACCCGTGTCCCTCCACCACCCGTGTCCCTCCAAACTTTTAGAAGACATCTAAAGCCAGCCCTGTTTAGGGAGGCTTTTAATGTTTAATATGTTACTGTGTTTTAGTGTTTGCTGGAAGCTGCCCAGAGTGGCTGGGGAAACCCAGCCAGATGGGCGGGGTATAAATAATAAATTAGTAGTAGTAGTAGTAGTAGTAGTAGTAGTAGTATTGGTGTAGTAGTATTAGTATTAGTATTATTAGTATTCCGAATAGGATTCCTTGCAAGAAAAGAGGAAAGTTGACAGCTATGGACAGAGCCAGGCAGAAGAAGGTGGCAGGTGGGTGTCCTACCCCACCCCCACCTCCAACATAAATCCTGGCTTCGCCCATGCTTCTAACATGTAAGACAGAAATCTCTCTCCAGTTTCTCCCTAAGATGTCCCTGCAAAGCTCTTTTAAAACTCTCATCATTGTGCACCCCTCTAAAACGCCCGCAACTGACACTTCAGGTTCCCTTTCGAACGAGGCCATAGAGCTGCGAAGAGGAAGTCTCAGAGCCACCTTTCTCTCCTCTTCCCCCAAGCTCCTTTTAGAGGAATGAGAACCGGAAGTGTTTGCTCTGTGCGTGTGTGGGAGGTGTGTTGTTGTGTGTGTGTGTTTTGTTCCTGCTTTTGAGGCTTATCTCTACGCTCCATCGTGAGAATTCCCTTTGCAAAACCAGCCGCCGCCAGAGTTTTGCTCGGAGAGGAGGAGCTGCAGGAAGGAGGCCAGAATTCAAGGTGCCCAAAAATGTTGATGGGGTGATTTGGGCTTGGGTGGGGGTGGAGGGCTCCTATCTCCCATGTGGGGCTTGCATTATTTCGCATTGTGAGATACCCCTGCAAGTCAGGCCTGGCTGCGTGTGTGTCTTTGAAAGAGGACGGGACCAGTCCACAGAGCTGGATCGTTGAATTTTAGAGTTGAAAAGGACCCAAAAAGGGTTATGCAGCCCAAGAATTCATGGAAGTTAAGGCTGTCAAAGGCTGCTAGCCAGGATAAACGGCCGCAACTGGAGGCAGCCAGCAAGGCTGGAAACCACAGTGGGAACGGAGAGTCGCTCTTGCGCTCGGATCCTGCTGGTGCGTTTCCTTGGGGCAGCTGAGATATGATATGATCATCTTTATTGTCATTGTCCCATACAGAACAATGAAATTGAAAAAAAAATCTACATCTGCATAAGACATTCAAAACAAACAAGCCAGCTATCCCAGCCTGGTTAGCCCCCTAAAAACTCTGATACCCCATAATTAAATACAATATACTCCCATACAGACTCCTTAGGTAAGGTAAAGGGACCCCTGACCATTAGGTCCAGTCGTGGCCGACTCTGGGGCTGCGGCGCTCATCTCGCTTTACTGGCCGAGGGAGCCAGCGTACAGTTTCCAGGTCATGTGGCCAGCATGACGAAGCCGCTTCTGGTAAACCAGAGCAGCACACGGAAATGCCGTTTACCTTCCCACCAGAGCTGTACCTATTTATCTAGCGGTACCTATTTATCTACTTGCACTTTGACGTGCTTTCGAACTGCTAGGTTGGCAGGAGCAGGAACCGAGCAACGGGAGCTCACCCCATCGCGGGGATTCGAACCGCTGACCTTCCGATCGGCAAGTTCTAGGCTCTGTGGTTTAACCCACAGCGCCACCCGTGTCCCTCTACAGACTCCTTACAATGTGTTTGAAACCAAAATCACATTAGGGTAGAAACTGTTTCTCAGGCGGCTAGTCCTAGTCATTATAACCCTGTACCTTCTTCCAAAGGCAGCAGCTGAAAGAGATCATTTCCGGGTTGCGCACTATCCTGCGCTATCTCTGCAGGTTTTTATGGCACCTGGAAGCATAGATTTGATCCAAGGTGGGAAGAGTGCACCCAATTATTCTCTCCGCAGTCTTTACAACCCTGGACAACATTGTTTTTTCCCTGACCGTGCAGCTCCCAAACCACACAGAGAGGCTATAAGTTAATACGCTCTCCACAGTGCAATGGTAAAATGCCATCAACAGGTCCTTTGAGAGATTATTTTTCCAGAGGGTTCTCAGAAAATATAACCTCTGCTGTGCTCTCTTCATCAGGTCTTTGCTGTTTTCTCCCCAGGTTAGGTCATCTCTCAACTCCATTCCCAGAAATCGAAACACCGAGACCACGCACTTCCCCTCAATAATAAGTGGCTGAATATTCAATTTACATTTCCTAAAGTCCACAATAATCTTTCTTGTTTTCTTTAAGTTAAGGAGTAAGTTGTTTTTCCTGCACTGCTCCCCCAACTGCTCAACTTCCTTCCTATAGGCCGTCTCCACCTCTCCAGCCGTGATTAAAACAACCACCGTTGTATCATCTGCAAACTTAATGATCTTATTACTGGGGTATTTGGGCAGCTAACTGTGAGAACAGGATGCTGTACCAGAGGAGACCTTGGCCTGATCCAGCAGTGCTTTTCTTGTGCTCCAAAAATTAGAACGGAGAGCACACACACACACAAAGTCCTCTTTCAAACCGGCTACGGTGGTACGTTGTGGGGGGCGTTTGTTTTCATAGAATTGCAGAGTTGGAAGCGACCCCAAAGGTCCTCTAGCCCAAGCCGCTACAATGCAGGAATCTCTGCGAAAGCATTTTATTCCTTTTCAGGGGTTGGACACTGTGGGGAAAAGGATGCTGGCCTAGGCAGTTCATTGGCCTCTTCCTATGTCCTTATTCATATTTATCGCCCTCTGGAGAGCCAGTGTGGTGTAGTGGTTAAGAGTGGTAGACTCGTAATCTGGTGAACCGGGTTTGCGTCTCCACTCTTCCACATGCAGCTGCTGGGTGACCTTGGGCCAGTCACACTTCTCTGAAGTCTCTCAGCCCCACTCACCTCACAGAGTGTTTGTTGTGGGGGAGGAAGGCAAGGAGAATGTTAGCCGCTTTGAGACTCCTTTGCGTAGTGATAAAGCGGGATATCAAATCCAAACTCTTCTTCTTATTATTATTCTAATGGGCATCGTCTTTTTCTGTTCTGTTTGTTTGAATGCCTGAGCATAAGAAGCGCATGCTAGATAAGGCTAATGGTCAATCTGTTATAAACGGCCTTGGTCCTATGTACCTAAAGGAGCATCTCCACCCCCATTGTTCAGCCCGGACACTGAGATCCAACGCCGAGGGCCTTCTGGTGGTTCCGTCATTGTGAGAAGTGAGGTTACAGGGAACCAGACAGAGGGCCTTCTCGGTAGTGGCACCTGCCGTGTGGAACACGCTCCCATCAGATGTCAAGGAAATAAGCAGCTATCTTATTTTTAAAAGACATCTGAAGGCAGCCCTGTCAAGGGAAGTTTTTAATATTCAATGCTGTATTGTTTTTAACACTCGATTGGGAGCTGCCCAGAGTGGCTGGGGAAACTCAGCCAGATGGGTGGGGTATAAATAATAAATTATTATTATTATATTATATTATTACACCATCCACTTCAGGACCTGAGCACAGGAGCAACTCTCCCCCTCCTGTGGTTCTCCTGTGGGTAAACTGAAGTTCCTTCCTGCCTCCTGAAGCTAAAGTCTCAAGGAGCAAAATAAACAGAAGCCACACCGCCTGAGTGGCAGTCGCTAGAAACTGCAGGAGGGGAGAGTTGCTCTCGCTTGCAGGTTTCCCACGAGGTTGGTCACTGTGAGAACAGGGTGCCAAACTAAATGGGCCTTTGGCCTGGTCTTCTTTTCACGTCTCCTTCCTTGCTGAATCCCCCCAAACCTATTCCTCTTTGTCCCCTGTCCCGAGGGAGCCATTTGTGGTTTAGGGGTTGGAGTACCAGACTAGGGCAGTGGCCCTCAAAAGACTGTGGCACGCCACCCTGGTGTGGCAGGAAGGTTCAGGGACAATCAAAGAGACATTTAAACACCTCAGTGTAGTATAGTATAGGGTTACCAGACGTCCCCAGTTCCCGGGGACAGTCCCCGGATTTGCAAATCTGTCCCTGGACAAATTCCGTTCCCGGAATGTCCCCAGATTTGCAAATCTGTCCCCGGGAAATGTGGCAGCGGCAGCCTCAGCAGCCCGGAGCCAGCCTGGTAGCGCAGTTGGCTCTGGCTGGCTTCAGGAGTTGCTCGCTGCCATGGCGCCCGCCATTTTTCCTCGCCGGAAGTCCCCATATGATGTGTCTTGTGCGCATATCATGTGTCTCGTGCGATCTGCCCCCTTCCCCCTTTGTTTTGACTGATCGGGGGAGGCTCAGGAGTCACGGGCAGGCGGCGCACCGTTGCCCAGTTTCATTAAAACTCTGTGCATTTATGTTTACAGGGTGCGAAATAGGGACTTTGCACCTTTATACAATATGCATGTGTGCTTGGGCCCAGGGTCTTTTGCCTCACCATCCCCACTAGTGACTCCCTGTTGCTACTCAGTTTAAAAAACAAACAAACAAACAGTGTCCCCGGATTCATTGAAAAAAATCTGGTAACCATAGTATAGTATCAAAATGGTTTTTTAAAATTTTATTTGCAGAATATGGATAGATTTTCACGTTCTAGGCGTCGTTTCTTTGTTGTTTTCCAATGCATTTCTTATCACTAAAAACAAATGCGGTGTGGCGCAAGCAAGTTTTTATTCTGAAAAGTGTGGCCCAGAGGGCGGGGGGGGGGGGGGAGTTTGAGAACCACTGTACTAGGACGTGGGAGAGACAAGGGTTCAAATCCCCACTGGGTGAGCTTGGGGAACAGGAACGATCTCTCAGCCTAGCCCACCTCCCAGGGTTGTTTTGAGGCTGCAATGGATGGGCAGGGGAGAGAACTGGGCATGCCACCTGGAGCTCATTGGAGCGGGGGGGGGTAATATTAATGCAATAAATGACTGGATGTTGTTTTTAACCATCCACCCCTTCTTCCCATTCCAGCCTGCCCCCACCGCATCCCAATTCATGCGGGGGCGGGGGAAGCACTGACCCCTTTGTGCTCTAAGAGGGAGGATCCCACGGAGGAGGGATCCCTGCAAGGATGCAATTGTGGCGGGGGGGGGGGGCGGAGAAATGATGCATTTTGCAGAAGCTCCAAGCCTTAAATGGGGTTTCATTCGTCTCCAAGGCGCAGTTCCTGAACGCAGGACGCTTTGCCAGCCTGGCGGTCCAACCCTCCCTCCCCCCCCCGCCAGATGTATCGAGACTACAACTCCCACCAGCCCACGGGGTGCAAGAAAGACTGACACGTGGCTCTCCCCTCCCATTTCCTGCAAAAACCTCCTTCCTTTTCCGCGCGGAACCCCCGCCCTGCCTAGCAACTGCTGACGCGGGCCAAAGGGCGTCTTTTCCCCATTGGCTGAAGGTCCTCTTTTTCCGCGCGCAGGTTTCCGCGGCTGGTCCCTGCTTCCCATCCTCCGCGCAGGTAAGTGGATGGATGGATGGATAGAAAGAAAGAAAGAGAGATGCAGGGACATTTGGAGATTCAGGTCCATTGCACGCGCAGGGGGGTGGTTCCTTTGCTCTTTTTGGTGGGGGTGGGGTTGAGTTTTTCCGGTGGGGGCTGAACTCCCCTATTTGCAAGACAGGATTCGCACCCAGGCCCTAAGGTGGGGAGAAAGGGGTTTCCCCCCAGGCCCCCCCACGGCATGATGCAGTTTTGGGGGTACCCTGTGTGCAAAGGGGGGGAATGGGATCTAAATGCAATGAATGAATAAAATGGGGGGTTCGGTGTCAGTGGACTCCCAAGGGCTGCAGGGCTGCAGGCACTAAGAGGAAAGAGGTCATTAGATCAGAATCGTAGAGTTGGAAGGAAGGGACGCCTGGCGGTCATCTAGTCCAACCCCCCTGAAATGCAGGAATCTTTTCCCCAACGTGGGCCGACCCAGAAATGGAGAGTCTCATATTCTCCCAGCTGAACTATCTCAGAGTACAGTGGCAGGAGGGGAAAGCAAGGCAGGAATGCAAGGAGCGGGTCACAAACGCTCTGCTGTTTATTTATGGATGTCTCAGTACTTTAATACTTAGATCCTGTTGTCCTATTGTGTATTTTACTCATGGATAAGCTTGCATCTTAAATGTCTGTGTTTCGCAAACCGCTTGGAAGCCTCTTTACACATTAAAGCGATATATGAAGATCCCGGGTCCCAAGGAGATTAGACTGACCTTGACCAGAGCCAGGGCCTTTTCGGCTGTGGCCCCAGCCTGGTGGAATGCTCTCCCACAAGAGACCAGGGCCCTGCGGGATTTGATACCTTTCCGCAGGGACTGCAAGACGGAGCTGTTCATAGAATCATAGAATCATAGAGTTGGAAGAGACCACAAGGGCCATCGAGTCCAACCCCCTGCCAAGCAGGAAACACCATCAGAGCACTCCTGACATGTTGTCAATCCTCTGCTTAAAGACCTCCAAAGAAGGAGACTCCACCACACTCCTTGGCAGCAAATTCCACTGTCGAACAGCTCTTACTGTCAGGAAGTTCTTCCTAATGTTTAGGTGGAATCTTCTTTCTTGTAGTTTGGATCCATTGCTCCGTGTCCGCTTCTCTGGAGCAGCAGAAAACAACCTTTCTCCCTCCTCTATGTGACATCCTTTTATATATTGGAACATGGCTATCATATCACCCCTTAACCTCCTCTTCTCCAGGCTAAACATGCCCAGCTCCCTTAGCCGTTCCTCATAAGGCATCGTTTCCAGGCCTTTGACCATTTTGGTTGCCCTCCTCTGGACACGTTCCAGTTTGTCAGTGTCCTTCTTGAACTGTGGTGCCCAGAACTGGACACAGTACTCCAGGTGAGGTCTGACCAGAGCAGAATACAGTGGCACTATTACTTCCCTTGATCTAGATGCTATACTCCTATTGATGCAGCCCAGAATTGCATTGGCTTTTTTAGCTGCCGCGTCACACTGTTGGCTCATGTCAAGTTTGTGGTCAACCAAGACTCCTAGATCCTTTTCACATGTACTGCTCTCAAGCCAGGTGTCACCCATCTTGTATTTGTGCCTCTCATTTTGTTCCGCCAGGCCAAACACATAGAAGTTACATGTGCTCTTGTTACAGTAGCTCTTGTTAGCTACTGTTGATTTTCATTTTCTGAATATGTTCTAAATACAGACAGGCCCCTTCTCTTTCTGTATAAGAACAAGCATTAAAGAGGCCTCCTGGCCTGCTCACAGGTCCTTTATAAGACCAGTGGTAACATTTGGCCCTGGAGAATATTAACCACTCTTAATTTTACCTGTGGACTGCCATCTGTCCAGATTTTAATTTGCTCTGAACTAATTTTAAGATGCATTTTAATTAATTGATTGCCTTTTTATGTTCTTATGTTTTTTCTATAATGTGTTAGTTTGATGATGTTAGCTGACCTGAGCCCAGCTCCGGCCGGGGAGGGATGATGATGATGAATGGATATTCATTTCGCAGGACCATAGAATTGTAGAGTTGGGGGGGGACTCTGAGGTCATCCAGTCCAACCCCCTGCGATGCCAAAATATGTGTGTGTGTGCGTGCGCATGTGCGTGTGCATCCCACTTTTTCTGTCTTTCTGTTTGATAACTCCTTATTAGGCAAGTTGCAAAACTCTGAAACTGAGAACCTTCGGGAATTGCCATCAGAAATCTCACAATGCATGCAGTTAAGAACCCATAGTTAATTGATGCCTGTTTTTTATTTTTATCGCACGGTTTTATGTTTCGTTGCTCTAAACCTCTTTGATCTTTTCTTTTACAACATGGAGGGCATATATATATTTTTATAAATAAAAAAAGGGGGGCGTGGGTGGCTCTGTGGGTTAAACCACAGAGCCTAGGACTTGCCGATCAAAAGGTCAGTGGTTCAAATCCCCGCGATGGGGTGAGCTCCTGTTGCTCGGTCCCCGCTCCTGCCAACCTAGCAGTTCGAAAGCACATCAAAGTGCAAGTAGATAAATAGGTACCGCTCCGGCCAGAAGGTAAACGGCGTTTTCATGCGCTGCTCTGGTTCGCCAGAAGCGGCTTAGTCATGCTGGCCTCATGACCCGGAAGCTGTACGCCGGCTCCCTCGGCCAATAAAGCAAGATGAGCGCCGCAACCTCAGAGTCGTCTGTGACTGGACCTAACGGTCAGGGGTACCTTTACCTTTTATAGATAAAAAATGAATAAATATAACAAAATATTCAGGGGGGAAACACCTTTTGAAACACATGCGTTCTCTCCCCTTAACAGCTTGGAACCAGTTGACTTACAGGATCGCCATACCCCCTTTATGTTTGGATTTGATATCCCGCTTTATCACTACCCGAAGGAGTCTCAAAGCGGCTAGCAATCTCCTTTCCCTTCCTCTCCCACAACAAACACTCTGTGAGGTGAGTGGGGCTGAGAGACTTCAGAGAAGTGTGACTAGCCCAAGGTCGCCCAGCAGCTGCGTGTGGAGGAGCGGAGACGCGAACCCGGTTCACCAGATTACGTGTCCACCGCTCTTAGCCAGTGCACCACACTGGCTCTCCTACTTGTCCCTACTTGACCACTCCAATCTGAGGGACTGGCACCGTGCCCACATATTACTCACTCTGCACTTTTTCCTGGTGCGAAAAGGGGGGGGCAGCTTTGAGCCATCCCCTGGGGGGAAACCTTACTTTCTGCAGGTCGTTGTGGAGCTGTTGTTTTAATGTGGCAACACCCTGACTGTTGACATCAGTCATTTGCACGCTTTCTAGGGCCCGATTAAAACATTTTTCGTTTAGGCAAGCCCTACCCAAACACATAGAAGTTACATGTGCTTTATCTCTTGTTAGCTACTGTTGATTTTAATTTTCTGAATATATTCGAAATGCAAGCAGGCCCCTAATTTTTTTTTTTAGGGGGGTGCTACATTCTTGGCTCCTGTTCGCATCAGCAGAGCGCACCAAACCCCACCCTGTTTTGTCCCTGTTCTGCCCTCTTCTGTGTACAAAACGATCCCGGTCGCACATCAACTGAGCATGTGAAAAATGCTTACTGACTCGACTTTATTTCAATTTTCTATTCATAATTTTAATGCTTTATATCAGGGTGGATAAAAAAATCAATGTGTGTTTTTTAAAAATATATATCAGATTTTTAAATTTTAAATTGTATTTTTAAAATAAAATGCTTTTGGAGGAAAAATCATTCTAAAGATAGTTAAACAGAAAACTATCTCTAGAATGATTTTTCCTCCAAAGGCATTTTATTTAAAAAATCCAATTCAAATTTTAAAAATCAGATTTTTAAAAAAGATCATATTCAAATCATAGAATATAAGTTACATTATATTCCAAAGGCTATTCATCAGGAAATAAGGATTTGTTTAAGTTTTTCATGTGTGCTAAAACTCAGTCTATGGTTCTTGTTTTTTTAAAAAATTGTTTAACTACATCGGTTAACAAACATGGATACATATGCTATAATGTTATTGTTTCAGTTTAATAAATTGTTTAAATTGTTATTAAGGAAATGATTCTTTTTCTCCGTCCAATAAAGTACAGCAGAAAAGTTGTCCAACTATAAACAGTTAACTTATTAAACCTCACAATAATTTCATAATGTATGTATTACCAAATCAGTAATTTTTGATATAACTGTAAAAACTCCTGAAAATTTATTATTCCAAAAATGAAACCTTCATCTGGTTGTAAATATTAAGATCATACCACCAAGAATGAGTCTGTCTGTAAAAAAATGATTTAAATCAAGTCTTACTGACTAGAGATTTAAATCGTGATTTAAATCAAATCCCCCCCACTTTATTTTATATTTCTGAAAACCACGTAGAGGGCTTCCCTCGTATATGTTTCTATTTATTTTTATAGACAACAAACCAGTTGCAGAAAAAAGAAATGAAAGAAAAATTTGTTGTTTTTATTTTTTTAACAAAATTATGTCAGTTGTCACAATGGCAAATAAAGAAGCATAAGATTCAGCTATGCAATTTTCTGAGTCAATAATATAATATACCAAGGGGAGAGGGATGCTTAGTATATAATTACAAAGGGTTCCAAGGTCTAAATTAAAACAACTGCCCCCCTTTTTTTGTAAAGAAAAGAAAAATAGCCTTGAGCTGTACTGAATCAAGATGCTTTCATAGACTTGTGGTACCTGACAGTTCTCAGCTATTTTTATGCCCGTGGGGTAGGGTGGTTTTCTTAAAATCAGAATACATATTGATTTTATTAATAAATGCAGTAACTTTCTGTGCCGATGAAAACGGCATCCTTAAGAAAAACAGGTAAGCAAAAGGCAACAGAGCAAGTTGGTCTGAAACCCCCAAACTTTTACATCAGTGGTTCCCAAGGTAGGTGGCACTGCCCGCCCCCCTGGTGGGCAATAGTGCCACCTGGGCGGGCACTAAGAGGAAAGGGAACACTGGAGGTATAAGGTATGCGGCCCAGGACCCACGGGACCGCCTCTCCTGGTATGCCCCACGGAGGACCTTAAGGTCCACAAATAACAACACTTTGGAGGTCCCAAGTCGCAAGGTGGTTAGATTGGTTTCAGCTAGGGCCCAGGGCCTTTTCAGTACTGGCCCCGACTTGGTGGAACGCTCTGTCACAAGAGACCAGGCCCCTGCGGGACTTGACATCTTTCCGCAGGGCCTGCAAGACAGAGCTGTTCCGCCCGGCCTTTGGTTTGGACTCAGTGAAAAAAAGACAGTCATGGAACCAAGAAATTACACAAAACAAAAGAATTGCCATGGAAATCCTTGAAACGAGAAGTAATCTATAGAATTGAATTAAATAACAAAAATTTAAAAAATTAAGGAAAAGTTAACCTAGAATTAAACAAATGAGATGCTGGCTACAAAACTCGTTTCACTGAGCTAATTAGTTTCCTCAGAAGGAAATAAAGAAATTATAAACCTTAAATGATTTTAAGTGATATCAAACAAACTCAAGAGCAGGGCTGAAATGCTTCCTTGAGTTTACAAAAAAGGTATAAAAACCTCAGTGACAAGTTTCAAACATAGCCCTATTTAAGAGAACATTATAAACCTTAACCTGCGTCTGCGCATGCGTGGGTTGCGATCCGGCGGTTCTGCGCATGCGCGACAGACGAAGCCCGGAAGTAACCCGTTCCAGTGCTTCCAGGATTAGGTGGTCCATAACCCAAAAAAATGCAACCGGAAGTGGCTGTAACCCGAGGTATGACTGTAGTTGTTTATCTCTTTGACATCTGATGGGAGGGCATTCCACAGGGCGGGCGCCACTACCGAGAAGGCCCTGTGCCTGGTTCCCTGTAGCTTTGCTTCTCGCAGTGAGGGAACCGCCAGAAGGCCCTCGGCGCTGGATGGCCAGGTTGAGACTTTATAATTGGAACCGGGAGAGTGGGAGCCCGGAAAGGTTTGGGAACCACTGTTTTGCCTCTCTCTAATCCCACCCCCACCTTTTGCAGCTTCTTGGCTTTCAATACCGCACATCCCAGCTGTTTGCCTTTGGCCTTTTTGGAACCAGATGCAGAGCACGGATTAAAGGGAAGTCCTGAAACACAAAGGGGCCACAAGATCAGGAACCGTGGAGGATTCTGGGAAAGAACCATGCAGAAGATTCCAGGCAATGACAACACCAGCTCGGGCGCTGAGTGTCAGCGCTTCAGGGAGTTTGGCTACCAGGAGGCCGGGGGACCCCGAGAGGTTTGCAGCCGACTCCACAGTCTCTGCCGTCGGTGGCTGAAGCCAGAAAGGCTCACCAAGGCCCAGATCCTGGACCTGGTGGTCTTGGAGCAGTTCCTGGCTGTCCTCCCCCCGCAGATGGAGAACTGGGTCAGGGAGTGCGGAGTGGAGACCAGCTCCCAGGCGGTGGCCCTGGCCGAAGGCTTCCTCCTGAGCCAGGAGGAGGGGAAGAAGCGGAAACAGGTAAGAGGGTGTTTCATCCTAGTTGTACAAAGGAAACACAGGAATGCCTTAGGCTAGTTAGTTCACTGATGTGTCTAGCCTAGTATTGTCGACACTGGCAGGCAGTGATTTCAGGCAGGGAGTCCTTTCCAGCTCTTCATAGGGCTGGGCTGTTGAATGGTTTCTTAATATTAAGGTACATTATTGTTTCACAAGATGTGTATCTCTTTAAAGGACAGAGTAAATATCATGACCTAGTTTTACAGCAGTATAGAAGGTGCTGTTAAGTTGTGTGAATTAAGCTGTGTCAGCAATTGGGTATAGTATATAAAGAGCAGTGTGTACCTCTCTCAGTACCCTGGTGAATGGGTCATACTTAATAGATTTAATGTAAGAGGAGTTTTTGTTATTAAACCCAAGCAAAATACAGTGGTGCCTCGCAAGACGAAAAGAATCCGTTCTGGGAGTCTCTTCGTCTAGCGGTTTTTTCGTCTTGCGAAGCAAGCCCATTGATGGGATTAGCGGATTAGCGCTATTAGCGCTATTAGCGGCTTTTAGCGGCTTTTAGCAGCTTATCAGCTTATCGGATAAGCAGATAAGCGGCTTAGCGACTTAGAAAAAGAGGGGAAAAGGAAAAAACAACCCAGGAACTCGCAAGACATTTTCGTCTTGCGAAGCAAGCCCATAGCAGATTCGTTTTGCGAGGCACCTCCAAAACGGAAAACTCTTTCGTCTAGCGAGTTTTCCGTCTTGCGAGGCATTCGTCTTGCGGGGCACCACTGTATATTTTTGCGTTTCTTCATTGTTTCCTGAACGTGCGATCTCCCCAGCACGCTTTTCGCAGTGCAATTAATCTGCTAAATACGCAACATGGGCGATACAGCAATATATCACCCAAAACTGGTTTTTTGACCTGGCAATACATCATGACATTCACGATGTGTGTGTGTGTATGTGTGCTATGCAAAAACCATGACGTGGGGGAAAGTTGAAGCCAGCTGAAGTCTCTACATAGCTCCATCCTTATTTCAGACATTGTGATACATCCGTGTTATATCATGGTGTTTAGCTGGCGATATACAGGTGAAACTCGAAAAATTAGAATATCGTGGAAAAGTTCATTTATTTCAGTAATTCAACTTAAAAGGTGAAACTAATATATGAGATAGACTCATGACATGCAAAGCGAGATACGTCAAGCCTTTATTTGTTATAATTGTGATGATTATAGCATACAGCTGATGAAAACCCCAAATTAACAATCTCAGAAGATTAGAATATTGTGGAAAGGTGCAGTAGCTATTCAATCCATAACACCTGCAATGAGTTCCTGAGCCTTTCAGTGGTCTCTCAGTCTGGTTCGGAGGTAGTAATTGATGCAAAAGGGGCCCAAACCAAGTACTGAGTACATATGCATGCTTCTACTTCTCAGAGGTCCAATATTGCTCTATTTGCAATCCTTGTTTTGCTGATTTCATTTAATATTCTAATTTTCTGAGATTGTTAATTTGGGGTTTTCATCAGCTGTAAGTTGAATTACTGAAATAAATAAACTTTTCCACGATATTCTAATTTTTCGAGTTTCACCTATATCACCAATATATCATGATGCACTTTTAGGCACCGGGCAAAAACATTCCTCTTTGGCTGATTGACATCCAGTGCCCTTTAAAAATTGTGTTGGGGAGATTATTGGGTTGTTCTTGTTTTTATTATGTATTTTGTGTTTTTATGTTGTGAACCACCCTGAGACCTGCGGGCATTTTTAAAACTATTTTTAAAAATGAGAGGAGAGGCTGTCTTAGTACTGTGGGTTACCGTATTTTTTGCTCTATAAGACTCACTTTTTCCCTCCTAAAAAGTAAGGGGAAATGTGTGTGCGTCTTATGGAGCGAATGCAGGCTGCACAGCTGTCACAGAAGCCAGAACAGCAAGAGGGATTGCTGCTTTCACTGCGCAGCGATCCCTCTTGCTGTTCTGGCTTCTGAGATTCAGAATATTTTTTTTCTTGTTTTCCTCCTCCAAAAACTAGGTGCGTCTTGTGGTCTGGTGAGTCTTACAGAGTGAAAAATACGGTAATTCACAGGCCAGACAGTGATGGCCTTCACATAAACCGTTTCTTAATCCCTTTCTCTGTCCCTTGTCTGGGATCCTTATAATTCCGTTTCAGGTGGAAGAAATGGTGGCAGACCCAGCTACCAACTTGGCAGAGGCAGAGGCAGCCCCTTCGGCCACAACACTGAGGCCGCCTTACAGGTGGATCGTGCAGGAGGGCAGTGGAGGTGCCACCTTGCTGGGTAAGGACCACGACAGGGCCCAGTTCAACTTGGCCTCCTCTTCCACCTCAGTTGCTTTCATTCTACTGTGTCAGGGAATGGTCTGAATCAGAGGATTGGGGAATGCATTCTCAGGCAGATCAGCTCCTCTTTGAAGAGGAGCCAGTGAAGATCCTTTAGGACCAGTGTTATATGGTCCCAGCAGCCACTCCCAGGCACCAGTCTAGCTGCCGCGTTCTGGATTAGTTACAGTTTCCGGGTCACCTTCAAAGGTAGCCCCACATAGAACATGTTGCAGTAGTCCAAGTGGGAGATGACGAGAGCATGTACCACTCTGGCGAGACAGTCCACAAGCAGGGTCTCAGCCTGCGTTGGACGCTCAGTGGAGGTGAATGTTCGAAGATTCAGGACACATAAAAGAAAATATTTCTTCATGGAGCTAAACTATGGAACTCGGTCCCACAGGAAACCGTGATGGCGACCAACTCTGATGGCTTTCAAAGAGGATTAGACAATTAGGGGGAAAGGGCCATCAATGGCTACTAGCCAGGATAGCTTTGCCCTGCCTCCACAATCAGAGGCAGAAATGCTTCTGAATATCAATTGCTGGAAACCACAGGAAGGGAGAGTGTTCTTTTGCTGGACTAGACAGGACAGTAGCCTGGTCCAGGAAGCTCATCTTAAGTTGTTAGGACTTTTCGGTGTGCGTAGAAATTGGACACCACTTCAACAAGCAAAGAAAATGGTTTCCAGATGACTATTGGAGGTGTAAGGAACCTTCAGGCCTCCAGATGTTGGTGAACTTTCATCGACCCCTGCCCATTGGCCATGCTTACTGCTGGGCCTCATGGGAGCTGTAGTGCAGCAGCATCTTGTTGTTTATTCGTCTGGTCGTGTCCGACTCTTCGTGACCCCATGGACCAGAGCACCAGGCACTCCTGTCTTCCACTGCCTCCCGCAGTTTGGTCAAACTCATGCTGGTAGCTTCGAGAACACTGTCCCACCATCTCGTCCTCTGTTGTTCCCTTCTCCTTGCGCCCTCCATCTTTCCCAGCATCAGGGTCTTTTCCAGGGAGTCTTCTCTTCTCATGAGGGGGCCAAAGTCTTGGAGCCTCAGCTTCAGGATCTGTCCTTCCAGTGAGCACTCAGGGCTGATTTCCTTCAGAATGGAGAGGTTTGATCTTCTTGCAGTCCATGGGACTCTCAAGAGTCTCCTCCAGCACCATAGTTCAAAAGCATCAATTCTTCGGCGAGCAGCCTTCTTTATGGTCCAGCTCTCACTTCCATACATCACTACTGGGAAAACCATGGCTTTTACTATACGGACCTTTGTCGGCAACGTGATCTCTCTACTTTTTAAGTTGCTGCTCAGCAGCATATGGGAAGCCAAATGTTCACCTTCTGCAGAGGTAGCAGGCTGGTGTGCTCGACCCTAGAAGGGTGGAGAAAACCATAACAGAGGAGGCCCTTTGACCTACCATAAATGGTGGTCATGAAGCAAGGTCTTTTCAGGTGGCTTTAGGGAGTGGCAAAGGGCACTGGGGAGAAAGCGACTCTTTGGGGTGTGCAAGTCCCAGGCTAGGGGAGGTCCTTGAATTGGGTCCAGAAGGGAACAGGGAACAGAAAGAATTATGAACAAAAAAGGGAAGGGTTTTAAAAACCAATGGACTATGTGGAAATGGCAAAGATGATAGCAAAGGAAGTGATCAAGTAATGAATTTTATATGGAAGAATGAGAGCCTTAGTCAGACAATTTAGAAAATATCATATATTAAATGGAATCGCAGCAGGATTAAAATAAATGCAGCAGAAGGGAAATGGTTGTGATTGTAATGAAAAAATGTGGAATAGATAAAACATATCATGGAAAGGTGGGAATGAAAACACTAAGGAAGAAGGGTGGGAAGTCAACTTTTAAATGTGTATAAAATATGATTTTACTTTGTTTTTTAAAATGTAAAATTCAGTAACAATTAATTGGCAAGAAGGTAACAGGATTAAGCATCTCCACGTCTTCTTTTCTCCCCCCCAGGAAGTGGCAGAACCCTGGGAATTTCTCCTGCGGTTGGTGGAGGGGAAGGAGTTGCTGTCCAGTCAAATAAGGTAATAAAAGCTCAATGCTTGGAATTCCCAAAGTGGTGAAAGAAAGTGCTTAGGCACCAGCATATAGTTACAGCAGGCGTAAGCAAACTCGGCCCTCCAGATGTTTTGGGACTACAGTTCCCATCATCCCTGACCACTGGTCCTGTTAGTTAGGGATGATGGGAGTTGTAGTCCCAAAAGATCTGGAGGGCCGAGTTTGCCTATGCCTGAGTTACAGGATTCGCTCCAACGAGTTGCCGTGATGGCTGCCAACTTTAAAAGGGGGTTAGACAGACTCATGGAGGGAGAAGGCTCTGCTTGGCCTCCAGCCACAATATCTTTGCTCTGCCTTCACAGTCCAAGCAATTCAGATGCCTCTGAATAATCCCAGTTGCCAGGAGGGAAGAGTGTTGCTGCTCCTGTTGCTCTCAGGTCCTCCTTGCTTCTCTTCTTTTTATATTGGGCGTCTGTTTGGCCACTGTTCTAACCAATATTGTTAGCTAAGTGGGCTTTGATGGCACCCAACTCTATCTGTTGATGGACGGCCATCCTGACTCAGCCCCAGACACACTGATCAGATGTTTGGAAACTCTGGCTGGATGGTTACGTGGGAGCCGGTTGAAGTTAAATCCTTCGAAGACAGAGGTCCTCTGGCTGGGACGGGACGATATGGGATTGGGGGGGCAACTCCCATCTCTTGTGGGGGTGCAATTAGTGCCAGCACCGTCCGTTAAGAGTTTGGGTGTAATCTTCGACACCTCCCTTTCCATGGAGGCGCAGATTGTAGCTATAACAAAGGCGGCATTTTTTCATCTCTGCCAAGCAGTTGGCTCCTTACCTCTCTCACCTCTCCTTACCTCTCTCACCCTGACCTAGCCACTGTGATCCACACGACGGTCACCTCCAGACTGGATTATTGTAACTCATTCTACGTGGGGCTGCCCTTGAGACTGACCCAGAAACTCCAGCAGGTGCAGAATGCTGCAGCGAGACTCCTTACAGGGTCTTCGCTGCGAGATCATATTCACCTGGTGCTATACCAGCTGCACTGGCTCCCGGTGGAGTATAGGATCAGGTTTAAGGTGCTGGTTCTAACCTTCAAAGCCCTATACAGCCTAGGACCCTCGTACCTATGGGACCGCCTCTCCTGGTATGTCCCACAGAGGAATTTATGGTCTTCAGACAAAAACATCTTGAAGGTCCCAGGCCACAGAGAGGTTAGGCTGGCCTCAACCAGAGCCAGGGCTTTTTCGGCCGTGGCCCCGATCTGGTGGAACGCTCTGTCACAAGAGACTAGGGCCCTGTGGGACTTGACATCTTTCCGCAGGGCCTGCAGAACAGAGCTGTTCCACGAGGCCTTTGGCCAAGACACAGCCTGACTCCCTCCTTTGGCAATCCTCACAGAACTTCTAGCCCAATGGTTGCCATTAATTTGATTGGAATTAATTTGATAATGAAATGATTTTAGAATGTTTTATCGTCTTACTGTTGTTAGCCGCTCTGAGCTTGGCTTTGGCTGGGGAGGGCGGGATATAAATAAAATTTATTATTTATGATTATTATTATTTGAATGCTTTTCACGCTCCAGGAGAACCGTCAGACATGTTCTCTTTCTTGATGGGTCCTCCTTTTTGGATTACCTAGACGGACAAGCTGCCTTCTCTTCTTTATTCTAGGCTCCGATGAACTTTGACGAGGTGGGTGTCTACTTCACAGAGGAGGAGTGGGATCTGCTGGATCCGGCCCAGAGAGCTTTGCACGGGGAAGTCATGGAGGAGAACTGGGGGAACCTGGAGTCTGTCGGTAAGGCTCCCTCTCTGCCTTGTGTGGCGGACGCTGGAGGTTGAAATTTTGATTGAGGTCCTTTTATTGAATGATATCCTCTTCTTTTCTGGGGTTCCCTCTGAGGGAGTGAGAGATGCCTCCAGACGTACCTTTTTAAGTCTTGAGAATGTTGAATGTTTTGATGTTTTATGGCTCTTTGTGCGCCTATGTAACATGCCTTCGAATTCTGCTCAGAGCAGACTTTTGGCTTAACTGGAGGTTCTGCAAACCTCCAGCACAATTCCGAGCACAATTCAAAGTGTTGGTGCTGACCTTTAAAGCCCTAAACGGCCTCGGTCCAGTATACCTGAAGGAGCGTCTCCACCCCCATCGTTCTGCCCAGACACTGAGGTCCAGCACCGAGGGCCTTCTGGAGGTTCCCTCCCTGCAAGAAGCCAAGTTACAGGGAACCAGGCAGAGGGCCTTCTCGGTAGTGGCACCCACCCTGTGGAACACCCTCCCACCAGATGCCAAAGAGAGGTCAACTACCAGACTTTTAGAAGACATCTGAAGGCAGCCCTTTTTAGGGAAGCTTTTAATGTTTGATGCATTACTGTATTTTAATATTTTGTTGGAAGCCACCCAGAGTGGCTGGGGAAGCCCAGCCAGATGGGTGGGGTATAAATAATTTATTATTATTATTATTATTATTACTTGGATCCCTAACTGGATACTGGACTCTCTTTTATTCCTTGGCTTCATGTTTTGTTTCAGTTGTTTCCCCTTGCCTGGGAGATGAACCAAGTGGTTGAGAAGTAAATTCTTCCCACGCAGATACCTGTCCAACATCTTCACAGCCTCTCCCAATTCCAAAGGAATTGAAAGATGGAGCTGTGTACCGGCATCATGCTCCAAATTGCCGGATGACCACTCCCAACAGTTTCATATAGGTGTTAAACAGCATAGGAGACAGAATGAATCATGGTGGGACCCTGCAGCCCCCAAACCATGGAGCATAGCAACAGTCTCCTAGTGCTATTTCCTGGTAGCCACCCTGCAGGTAGGAGTGAAACCATTATAAGACAGGACCTCCATCTGGTACCCCCTTGAGCCACTCCAGAAGAACACCACGGTCAGTGGTTTCAAAAGTCATTGGTGGGTCAAGGAAAGCCAACAGGGTTCCACCCATCCTTCAATCCCAAGAAAGGTTCTTCCTCAGACAACCAAGGCTGTGTCAGAGCCAACACTGGGCCTGAAACCAGACTGAAATGTATCTGGACCATCTTGTTCCTTCAGGGAAGGAACCAGGTACAGGGGACCAGGCAGAGGGCCTTCTCAGTAGTGGCCCTGTGGAACACCCTTCCATCAGATGTCAAAGAGGTGATATGACATTTAGAAGACATCTGAAGGCGGTTTAGGGAAGCTTTTCAATGTGTAATAATAATAATAATTTATTATTTATACCCCGCGCAGCCACTCTGGGCGGCTTCCAACAAAATACTAAAATACAGCAATGCATCAAACATTAAAAACTTCCCTAAAGAGGGCTGCCTTCAGGTGTCTTCTAAAAGTCTGGTAGTTGTCGTTCTCTTTGACATCTGGTGGGAGGGCGTTCCACAGGGCGGGTGCCACTACCGAGAAGGCCCTCTGCCTGGTTCCCTGTAACATGGCTTCTCGCAGTAAGGGAACCACCAGAAGGCCCTCGGCGCTGGACCTCAGTGTCCAGGTAGAACGATGGGGGTGGAGACGCTCCTTTAGATAATACTGGACCGAGGCTGTCCAATATTTTATTTTGTTTCTATATATGTTGGAAGCCGCTCAGAGTGGCTGGGGCAACCTAGTCAGGTGGGCAGGGTACAATTATTATTATTATTATTATTATTATTATTATTATTAGCAACTCTTCTTTATGTCTACTTTCCTCTCTTTGTTACAGCAGGTGTTGAATGGGAGAGTGAGACTGAGGGCGAAGCACACAGCACGTCCTTGGAAGGAGTTGGGTGTATAGACGGGAAAGCTCAGAGAAGGGAAATGGAACCAGAAGAGGAGGACAACTCCTTTGCTTCTCAGTGTAGCGACTTGTGTGAAATCCCAGCCGAAGACCAAGAGAAGAAAAGTATTCAGTGCAGTGTGTGCGAGGAAAGCTTTAGTTGTGAATCAAACCTTAATACTCACATGAGAATCCACATGGAGGAGAAAGCGTATAAATGCCCGGTCTGTGAGAAGAGCTTCAGCTGTAGTGCACATGTTAGTGAACATCTAACAGTCCACATAGCAGAGAAGCCATATCAGTGCTGGGACTGTGGACAGAGCTTCCAGCACAGCACGAGTTTTACACGGCACTTGACGATCCATACTGGGGTGAAACCGTATAACTGCTCCGAGTGTGGAAAGAGCTTCCGCCTGAGGGCGTATCTTACTTCACATCAGAAACTCCATACGGGGGATAGACCATATGACTGCTCAAAGTGTGGGAAGAGTTTTGTTAGCAGCGCACACCTTCGGTCGCATCAGAGAATCCACACCGAGGAAAAGACTTACAAATGTTTGGAGTGCGGAAAGAGCTTCAGGCAGCGGATACACCTTAGCTCACATCAGATAATCCACACAGGGGAGAAGCCACACAAATGCTCCGAGTGTGGAAAGTGCTTCACTCACTGCAAAAGCCTCACACGGCATCTCCTCACCATCCACACAGGCGAGAAGCCTTACAAATGTTCAGAGTGTGGAAAGAGCTTCAACCACAGCATGAACCTTAAGTTACATCAGAGAATCCATACAGGGGAGAAGCCGTATGAGTGCTTGGAGTGCGGGAAGAGCTTCAGCTGGAGGACCTCGTTTACTTCGCATCAAAAGATCCACATGGGGATGAAGCCATATAAGTGCTCCGAATGTGGAAGGAGCTTCCGTAACCACATCAGCTGCATACGTCATCAAAGTGTGCACACCGGAGAGAAGCCGTACACATGCTCAGAGTGTGGGAAGAGTTTCAGTCACAACTCTAGCCTTACCGAACATCAGAAAATCCACACGGGGGTGAGGCCATATATATGCTCAGAGTGCGGGAAGACTTTCATCCGGAGACTACACCTTACAAGCCATCAAAGAACCCATACAGGAGAGAAACCATATAAATGTTCGGAATGTGGAAAGCGATTCAGCCAGAGCTCGAGCCTTAATGTACACCGAAGAATCCACACGGGGGAGAAACCATACACGTGCTCTGTGTGCGGGAAAAGCTGCAGCCAGAGGTCAAACCTTAACGTACACGAAAGAATTCATAAAGGGGTGGTTGCTGTCAATTCTGCCGATGCCTGTAATGTGGAAAGAATTTCAGTTACGGAACAGGCCTTCAAAGTAGAGGATCCATACATCGGATATGGAATCTAAATGACTCGAGAGCTTATCTGAGAGGAAATACAGAGAAACCGTATAAATGCTCACAATACGACAGATTGTATGTTGGCTCCCCAACATTGCTAATGAGAGGATGACTATGGTGAGCAAGCATCTACAGGAGCCAACATCTTCCATGACGTCTTCTGGTTAAAGGCTCCTCTGGCCACCTGGGCAGAATAAACTTTCCTAATTCTTCCAAGTGACCACCTGAGTCCCCTCTACCACGGAGAAAGATCCCGCTGGACATCTGCAGTTGCAAAGATGGTTCCTGTACTGTCCTGTGCCATTTTAATCTGATAACTTCATGATGACATTGTGACATTTCTTTTCTGAGAAGGTAGAAGTTTCAGGCGATGAGCTCCAGGCTCTTTATTTTTGTAGGAAGGAGGTTATGGAGATTGATTTTATACGGTTTTAATGTTTATTATTATTATTATTTGGTTATTAGTTTGATTTTATATTTGATGTAGCCTGTCCCAAGATCCCTTAAATTAGGAGTGGGAACCTCAGGCACAAGAGCTGAAAGCACTGTGTCTGACCTGTGGGAAACTCCCATCAGCCCATGCTCCTGTTTCACACTCTTCCTTGAGTGTTTTTGCCACACGTGGATGTATCCTTGAACTCTGATAATGCCACCTCTTGGCTTGGATGAAAGGCAGAGCAGGGCTGTGCAGAAACTAGCCTACTGTACAAAAGGTAAAAATGTTCATTTCCTGATCTTCCCACTTTCACCTCTGGCCACATGGCCAGTGTGGCGCAGTGGTTAAGAGCAGTAGACTCGTAATCTGGTGAACCAGGTTCGCTTCCCCGCTCCTCCACATGCAGCTGCTGGGTGACATTGGGCTAGTCACACTTCTCTGAAGTCTCTCAGCCCCACTCACCTCACAGAGTGTTTGTTGTGGGAGAGGAAGGGAAAGGAGAATGTCAGCCGCTTTGAAACTCTTTAGGGTAGTGATAAAGCGGGATATCAAATCCAAACTCCTCCTCTTCTTCTTCCTCCATCACTGGTCTCTCACCTCTGAAAGTTTGCCCAGAGGGAAATGTGGCTCTTGGGCTAGAAAAATGTCTCCCACCTCCGCCTTAAATAAATAACTGTAAATATTCACATCTGGAAACAGTAAGTGCAGATGTGCCACTCGGCAGATACCGCTTGTTACTCAGATGCAAGCAGGATCCATCCCACCTGAGCGGTTGACGAAAGAAGCCTTGCTATTTTAGAGTAGCGCTGGCCTACGGTGGGTGATTGGTTCATAGAATTGAAGAGTTGGAAGGGACCTAAAGCGTCATCGATGCAATGGCCATGTTAAGAAATAGCTCAGTTTGAAGACTTTAGTTATGGAGAAGGCTCAGAGGAGAGTTTTCTCTGGGGTAGCCCCTAAAGCAACCTTTCTCACCAGGTGGTGTTGGACTACAGGACCTGTTTTCAGGGATAAATAAATATTTTTTTATTTATACCCCGCCTTTCCCAGTTCAGAAAACCGGGCTCAGGGCAGCAAACAACAAAGTTAAAACACTTCATTGATGCAACAAAAAACAGCATAAAATACAGTATAAAACGTGAATAACAATAAATTCAGAATTCAAAAATCAATTGGGGGGGGGAATCCATCCAATAAACATTAAATGATCACCAAGGCTAGCTGGCTAAATTAGTCCTACTTGGGCCAGCGAGGAGACCAGGGGAGAATTAGCTGTGGGATCCCAGAGCGGGTAATCTTCATAAAAAGGGGAGGGGGAGGGAAGGAAGGGGAATAAAAGATCAGGCTAAGTTCAAATTGAAAGCCAGACGGAATAGGTCTGTCTTACAGGCCCTGCGGAAGGAAGTTAAATCCTGGTCTCATGGGACAGAGCATTCCACCAGGTCGGAGCCATCACTGAGAAGGCCCTGGCCCTGGTGGAGGATAGTCTGACTTCCTTAGGGCCCGGGACCTCTAAACTATGTTTATTCATGGACCTTAAGGTCCTCTGCGGGGCATACCAGGAGAGGCAGTCCCATAAATAGTGGTAGTTGTAGTCCAACGTCTGGGGGACCCAAGTTTGCCCTAAATTGTGGAATTCCTTCTTCACGGTTGCGTCTGGAGAGTTAAAAGTACGTTTGCTGGGACCCTCTCCCTTTTCAGTTTTTTTTAATCTATGCAGCTCTGCTTCTGCTTAGAACTGCTCTATTGCTTTCCTTTTTTTATAATTGTATGAAAAGTTTCACTTGTTTTTTTTTAATATAATTTTGTACGTTTATATTGTTGTATCTTGCCCTAGGAACTTGTGGTGAAGGGTAGGGAAGCAGTCAAATAAACAAATTGAGCAGACTTCAGACTTGCAGGAACTGCTTTGTTTCTCGCTTGAACCCCCAGGTCCACCTGGTGCAAAAGAATGGCTAGTGGTTAGAGGACATCATAGAATCTTGGAGTTGGAAGGGACTCCCCAGGGGTCATCTAGTCTAACCCCCTGCAATGCAGGAATCTTAGCTAAATCATCCGTGACAGATGGCCATCCAGCCTCCGCTTAAAAACCTCCAAGGAAAGCAAGTCCACAACCTCCCAAGGGAGTCCGTTTCACTGTTGGAACAGCTCTTATTGTCAGAACATTCTTCCTGATGTTTCGTTGGAATCTCCTTGAAGCCATGGGTTCGAGTCCTACCCTCCGGAGCAGGAGATAAGAAGCATGTTCCCTCTTCCATGTGACAGCCCTGGAGATATTTGAAGATGACTATCCTATCTCCTCTCAGTCACCTCTTTTCCAGGCTAAACATGCCCAACTCTTTTCTTTTCTTTTCTTTTTTTGATGCAGCAAGAAAAAAGGAAAAACACAAATACCAAATTACACACAGGAATAACCACAGACACATAATTGTCTTAACAAACAATGAAACATAAATTGGTCTTCACGCTAAAGACCCAACCTCCCGTCTATTCCATATTTCGATTTCATATTACTTATTGCCATACACACTTTTATCATAATTAAACTTTTTCTTAATATATCTACTTCTTATATCTACCTTGCAACTATTACTGAAGTTCCTCAAATGCTGCAAGGTGTTTTTGTCTCGGGGATCTTTGCAACAGGCAACCCCCATGCCATTCTTGTCCCTGCAAATCCACCATATCCTTCCTTGGGACAAACCAGCTTAGGGAGATCGTCTTTATGATGAAATGTATACATTGTGCTATATGGGTGCTGGCGATATTTCATTTGGTGGGAAGGCAGAAGAACGAACGACTGGGCCGAGTGGTCTTAGCCCTGGCTGGGGAGGAACAGGGCAGATAAGTCCTCCTGTTTGTACTGGCTTTAGCAGAACGGGCGAGGGGCATCGCTTCCACCCCATGGAACCAGTTCCAACAAGTAGCTACACGAAGGGAGAAGGCTAAGAGTTACTTAAGAGTGACACTGGAGATTTGCCAAATAACAAGGGACGCGGGTGGCACTGGGTTAAACCACAGAGCCTGGGACTTGCTGATCAGAAGGTCGGCGGTTCGAATCCCCGTGGCGGGGTGAGCTCCCGTTGCTTGGTCCCAGCTCCTGCCCACCTAGCAGTTCGAAAGCACGTCAAGTGCAAGTAGATAAATAGGTACCACTCTGGCGGGAAGGTAAACGGCGTTTCCATGCACTGCTCTGGTTCGCCAGAAGCAGCTTAGTCATGCTGGCCACATGACCCGGAAGCTGTACGCCGGCTCCCTCGGCCAATAAAGCGAGATGAGTGCCGCAACCCCAGAGTCGGTCACGACTGGACCTAATGGTCAGGGGTCCCTTTACCTGTGCCATTGGAATTTGCCTTGGGACCTTATTGAGAGGGGCAGGTAACAAATAAATAGGTAAGCCCGTGGAAACTGCCCAAACTCACCTTTGAGTTATGTATAAAGAATCCACTTAATAAACCAGTTTAAGTTTCTTCTGGAACAAGTGGTGGAGCCCATCTCCATGTCCAAGCCTAATAAACGCCATACTGGGAGGCTTTGAAGCATTCTGATAGAAATTGCATAAAGAGGCACAGGTGCAGATAATCCTGTGTGTACAGGTAAGGCTGAGGGAACATGGGTCTCAGGTAGAGCCCCTGCTGGCCTTTGCCTCACCTGATACCTGCCGTGTCATGAGTGTGTACAGGAGCCAGGCCCTGTGACCAGTAGGACTTCGCAGGACTGGGGCCTTCCTAAGTTTGTTCTGGAGAGGCAAGGCAAGGTCGCACAGGTGAGGCCGATTGGTAACTCCCAGCACCTGGTGGCAAGAGCCGGGAAGGGATATAAGGTCAGCATTTCCCTTCGGCTCTTTGTCACAGCAACACATTCCCTGCCTTGCTGAGTTTGGTTCCTTGACTCCTTGCTTCTTGATCCTCGGACCCCTGACTTCATGACACCTTGTTTCCTGACCTTCAGACCCTTGGCTTCTTGACTCCCGGCTCTCTGACCTGCGGACTCTTGGCTTCCTTACTCCTGGCTTCTGGACCCCCATTCCTGCTCCCACCCCGCCATCCTGCCCCCGGTCCCGACATCCCCAGCCAGGACTTCGATCGTCCGTGAACCGGACCGTGAGAGGAGGGTGCTTCAAAACACACACTTCCAGAGGGCAAGATTGGGACACAACCTTCCACGTACCATGTTTCCTTTTGCAGCTACGTTTTGAATTTAAAAACGGGTTCAGCAGTCGCTTTCCCCTTTTCCTTTCCACCATCTGCACTCCTTTCTTCCCTCTGGATAGTCCCTCTGAAACCTTCAAAGTGTGGAGGGTGGGCCTTAGGCTCCATCTCCCGGATTGGCTCTCCCCCCTCTGCTCCATCCCATTGGCTCTCTGTTTTGTCACTGCCAGAGAACAGGTTTCCCTGCCTTTTCATCTCCAGAGATCAACAAATATGGGGGAGGGGAATCTACATGCATGGTGAGGGTTGTGGTATAGAAGCAAACCTTTGGCAGTGAGTTTGGACTGCTCTGAGAGGACATCCAAACCATAAAAACATATCAAGTATAGAGCAGGTGTGTATGGATTGACCAAAACAGCAGCCCTGTGGGTCAAATGGGGAGTTCCTGGCAGCCCTAAGGTGGCTACAAGGACACGGGTGGCGCTGTGGTCTAAACCACTGAGCCTCTTGGGCTTGCCGATCAGGAGATTGGCGGTTCGAATCCCCGCAAAGGGGTGAGCTCCTGTTGCTCCGTCCCAGTTCCTGCCCACCTAGCAGTTCAAAAGCATGTCAATGTGCAAATACATAAATAGGTACCACTGCGGCAGGAAGGTAAACTTTGTTTCTGTGTGCTCTGGTTTCCATCACGGTGTTCCCTTTTCAGAAGCGGTTTAGTCCTGCTGGCCACATGACCTGGAAAGCTGTCTGTGGACAAACGCCAGCTCCCTCGGCCTGAAAGTGAGATGAGTGCCACAATCCCATAGTCTCCTTTGACTGGACTTAACCATCCAGGGGTCCTTTACCTTTTACCTAAGGTGGCTCATGGTCAGCTACCAGTCCCACCACCTTCTCAGAGTTTGGAGTCACATCTGGGAGTTTTTGCAAATGTGTGTTACTCTAGTCCTGCACCTGCGTGTACAACCAGCAGCCTGCATCCTGAAGCCTGGGGCGCGCTGAACAGCACACACCGGGCTTTGGGCAGATATCGGCAAGCCTGGGGAGACCGGCGGGAGTTCCCACCGGGCTCCCCAGGCTTGTGGATAGCAGCCTGTTCTGGGGGCTGGGGTCGGGGGAAGCTCGGACTTCCCCTGCCCCAGCCCCGTGCCTGGGGGGGGGGGGATAAAAAAAAATCTTTATTTCCCTCCCAAAAAACTAGATGCGCCCTATGGGCCAGTGCGCCCTATGGGGCGAAAAATACGGTAACTGCCCAGGTAGGAGAAGTGATCAACATTTTCCAACGTTTCACCATTGAATTGGATTTGCAGCGCTGCAGAAGGGTTATTTTGTACTTGTTGGTGCAACACTTTGGTTTTTTGGGTGTTTAGCTATAGGCCAAGCTTTTTGTAACCTTCTGTGAAGATATTTAGGATACAGTGGTGCCGCGCAAGACGAATGCCTCGCAAGACGGAAAACTCGCTAGACGAAAGGGTTTTCCGTTTTTTGAGCTGCTTCGCAAGACGAATTTCCCTATGGGCTTGCTTCGCAAGACGAAAACGTCTTGCAAGTTTGTTTCCTTTCTCTTAGCACCGTTAATACAGTTGCGACTTGACTTCGAGGAGCAACTCATAGAACGCAGTGTACATAGTAGCCTTTTTTGAGGTTTTTAAAGACTTTGGTGATTTTTGAAGCTTTTCCAAAACTTCTTTTGCAGCCATTTGGTAAGTTAAGCTTTTAAAACTTTTTTGGGGGGGTTTGGATTTTGGGTTGGGGTGTTTGGAATTCAAGGACTTGGTGTTGGGGAGGGGTTTGCAAGAATCTGGAAAGTTGTGTGTTTTTTTCTGCATTTTTATGATTTTCTGTGACCATTGGGCCACTCTGCTGTTTTTTTAAAAAAATTCTGGATTCGAATTTCTGTGCCCTGGGTGGCTGGGGGAACAGTTGGGGAGGGGTTTGCAAGAATCTGGAAGCTTGTGTGTTTTTTTCTGCATTTTTATGATTTTCTGTGACCATTGGGCCACTCTGCTGTTTTTTTTTTTAAAAAATCTGGATTTGAATTTCTGTGTGCTGGGTGGCTGGGGGAACAGTTGGGGAGGGGTTTGCAAGAATCTGGAAGCTTGTGTGTTTTTTTCTGGCTTTTTATGATTTTCTGTGACCATTGGGCCACTCTGCTGTTTTTTAATAAAAAATTCTGGATTTGAATTTCTGTGTGCTGGGTGGCTGGGGGAACAGTTGGGGAGGGGTTTGCAAGAATCTGGAAGCTTGTGTGTTTTTTTCTGCATTTTTATGATTTTCTGTGACCATTGGGCCACTCTGCTGTTTTTTTAAAAAAAATCTGGATTTGAATTTCTGTGTGCTGGGTGGCTGGGGGAACAGTTGGGGAGGGGTTTGCAAGAATCTGGAAGCTTGTGTGTTTTTTTCTGCATTTTTATGATTTTCTGTGACCATAGGGCCACTCTGCTGTTTTTTTAAAAAAATTCTGAATTTGAATTTCTGTGTGCTGGGTGCCTGGGGGAACAGTTGGGGAGGGGTTTGCAAGAATCTGGAAGCTTGTGTGTTTTTTTCTGCATTTTTATGATTTTCTGTGACCATTGGGCAACTCTGCTGTTTTTTTAAAAAAAATCTGGGTTTGAATTTTGAAATGCTCTTTACAGTATGTGTGACTTTAAAGAGCACTTAATAAACTCTTGTTGTACCAAATTTGGCTTTGTTTGGACTTTTTTTGACCATAGGAACGCATTAATTGATTTTCAATGC